AAATAGCATAGTTTATAAATAAAACAAAGAGTTTAGGAAGTGGGCTTGGAATCCATAACATAATCAATCGTTTACTTCTGAACCATCTTCCATCTACGAATATCCTCAGAGCTCAAGCCCCGCCCCCTAGGTGTAACACCCTCAGCTCACACACCTGGGACACGGATCCATCAATTACAGGCCTTGCTGTCGGGGCTCCTGGCGTTTCTCTTTCCACCCCTGGTCCAGTCTTCTCAGGCTGTGGCGGGAAGTTCCGAGCATGTCGGGATCACCCTCTCCATGAATCTCCTCTCTCCCTGCAGGCGCCCTGTTGCCAGGCACAGCAGATGTTAGGCAAACATTTGTTTGAGTTAAACTTAATCAGCTACATTTCCCAGACTCTTTTAAGTGGCAGATTCTGGGAATTGATCCTGGAGAAGTTTGGCTTCCACGGACTCAGGAAAACCTGAAGTTGGCCAGCAGTGTCTGCAGCCTGAGCTGGGGCGTGACGACAAGCGGGAGCCGGATCTGGCCCTGGCGCTCTGCTGCAGCTGGGAAGAAGGTGGGTGCCTCCCACGGCCAGCCACAGGGTGGTCCTTCTGCCCGGGGCTCTTCCTGAGCAGTGCCTCCACCCCACCCCAGGAGGACCAGCCATGTCCGTCACTGGAACACAGCCGCAGCCTTCAAGGGTTCAAGAGTCAAAATAGCATAAGGAACACCACCAACAGTGTGCCATACTGCTGAACACTGGGTGTGCATCTGTGAACCACCCACGCTGAGGACTAGATATCCCAGTTAAGACCTGAGATCACAGGAGTGTGTATTCACTAGCATGAAGAGGGGGGTGGACATGTGATATGTTACCCCAGCAGACCAGCCCCACCCACCGACTTACCTGGGCCGCTGTCTCCTACCACGTGATGTTTACTCTCCAGAAAGCCGTGTTATGGGGACAGTGCAGCTTACTGAGTCTTCACAGTCAGACTGCAGACTGAAGTGGAGAGAATCCTGTCTCACTCATGTGTGATCACGTCAGAACGACCCACTATCATACACAGCAATCACCACATGAGACAAGTGCAAATCGATTCCAGCGCTTAGGGCAATGTGTAAATGAATCTGTTTCAAAGTTTAACACACTTACCTAGTGAAACAAGTTTTCTAGATTTCTGGGTTGTAGTGCTTTTTGCTTTGATGACTGTATTATCGTGCACTAATCCGTCATTGTCACAGCAAGTGAGGACCCTCGGCTCAGGCAGGGTCTCACCTGGCATCACCAGCACTGGGCTCACTTCTAGCTGCAGGTCTCAGCTGCAAGATGCTGTGCCTTTGGCCGGTGCCCCCTACAGTGAGAGCATGGCCCAGGTTTGGAGAAAAAGGAACGGTGGGTAGTCAACCCGCCCTCAGATGAGAACCCAGAGACAAAGGAGGTGAAGAACATTCATATCTCAGGGCCAACTTTCTGTGGGTGTCGTCTGCATGTGTGTGCGCCTGTGTGCACATGTGTGTACCCATATGGGAACATCTTTTGAAGATGGTCCTGGAGGCTCTGACGGCTCTCTTGTGGCCTGTGCCATTGACGGCTTTTCACATGAGCACGTGTCTACCTGACACAGCAGGTGCACAACATTCCCCTGTTGGTGCCGAACCCAAGTCCTGGGTTCCACTCACTGCACTGAGGTGAGATGCAGCAGGGGTTGGCAGTGTCCCTCAGACCTGGTTCTGGGACCAAGGGCTCCTTGGCTGCGGACTCTTGGGCAGTGTTCCCACAGAACACTTTGCGGATCTGCTCAGTGTGGCCTGTGGGTGTCCGTGTGGCCGCTCTCTCCTCAGGACGCTGAGTCCTGTCCGTCCTGGAAGCAGCACCTTGGTTCCAGGAACCACGGTGTCATGGAGTCTTTCAAACGCCTCCAACCTGGCTGTGGCTTCCCCTGTCCCTGCGTGGCCACCCTGGTGTGGGAGCGTCTTCTCCCTGCTGCTGTGCCTTCCCACTCTGCTCCCTGGGCACTGTCACCCTGGCATGGAACACTGTGGATCGCACCAGGCTTCTCCCAGCTGTCACGGCTTCCCCACAGTGTGGTGGCTGACAGTCGCTGCGGCGCTTCAGTGATGGGAAACAGCCCCTGGTGCCCACCAGTCACACGGGGGGATGCCTGGGTCCTGAGAAGTGTGGGTGCTCTCCCAGCCATCACCAGGAGCATCCTGCTGGACAGCAAAGGACAGACGGGAGGAAGCGCTGAAGTGCAGAAACTCCAGGGGAGCTGTGCCACCTCCCGGCACCACCCCAAGAACGTGAGGACTGCAGGCACCAAAGTCACTCTCCCCTGGTGCTCTTTCTCCAGGGTCGACTCAGCAGTACCTGGTGCAGGCGTGAGGCTAGACAGCGGCGGCAGCTTGGCAGTGCAGCCCCTCGCGGCTCAGCTCCCTTCCCTCGCACCTGCACGCAGAGAAGCCAGCAGCCAGCCGTGGTGAAGGCCAGGGGTCAGCACCCCCCGCCGGCTCTCCCTGGACGTGCCTGTGTAGACTCCTAGGTCCAGGCAGGGTTTAAGTAGAGTGAGGATCCCATTTCCTACTCTTTCCACCTCTGTTTCCCTTTAAGGCCTGCTTTCCCCAGACTTGAAAACCATGGTCGGTGGCTGCTGTCTTGGTGGCCATGATTCCGTTTGTCCACGGTTCACCTAGCAGGGGTGGTGAGCCTGTCCTGCAAGGCCCAGGAGAAGCCACTCCGGACCACGAGGTTCCATCCCACCTGCGGCTGCCTTTGCAGATGGTCTACCCAGAAGTGGGTGTCGCTGTCCCAGGAGATCTGCCCTCAGCCTCGGGTGCCACCTCAGACCCAGAAGCGTGTTAGGAAACACACCGACTCTTCCACACGTGACTTTTTTTTTTTTTTGCCATTATTAATGTGTTCTTGCTTATTTGATTTTTGAATGTACAATGTATTCTATAAAGGGTCACTTTAGACTTTTAGATGTCTGATTTAGACATATGAAAAATAATCTTTCTTCTTATTTTTACGACAGCTGTCAATTTAAAGAATAAATAAGATTCTTTAAGAAGAGTTTTGGTCTTTTTCCCTCCATACAGAGGGACACAGTGAAGAACCACCGTGAAGAACTGTGGAGAACCACTCAGAAACGCTGCACCAACCCTTGTTGAAAACCCGCTGCTCTACTCACCGTGAGCCGACCAGCCCTGGGCTGCTGTGGAGCAGGGGCCTCGGAGCCCTGGCCTCTCGGGTGAGGGCCAGCGCTCAGGACAGACGCAGCCGCACGCGGGACAGCTCCGGCAGCCCTACAGGGAGACCTGGCGACTTGCAGGCCTGTGAGGAAACAGACCCCAGGAGCAGGGAGAGGGGAGACGGCACAAGTCCAGGCAGCGCCCAGGAACCGCCCGCCAGCCCGCCCTGCAGGGGAGTGTCACAGGCTCCGATGGTCCTCAGGTGCCCTCCCCTGGAGCGCTCCAGGTCCTCCTGGTAGGCAGGGTGGTCAGGTGAGGCCCTCCTCAGCCTCAGGCCACCCCACGGATGGAAGAAGGACCTAGCGCAGCACCCTGAGCTCACAGACAGGTTCAGGATTCGGTTTCTGACTCCCAAGTGGTCATCAGAGCCATCAGGACCAAAATCTGGGAGGCTTCTTAGAATCCCAGGAGAGACCAGCCTCCTTCCTTCCTCCTAACCATCTCCCTCCCTCTCTCTTCTTCTGCGGATGCTCAGGCAGAGGGCATATGCCGGGGTGGCCTGCAGCCATTTGCCACCTGAGAATGAGGCCTGCCGACAGCTGGGCTAAGGAGCAGGGACCAGTCCTGGTGGCCTGGGGCCTGATCTGCAACGGAAAACATTTTTTACAGCCCCAGGAGCAGAGTCCTCTCCTGGTCTCTGAGCTTAAGTGGTGGTCACCACCAGGGTCTGAACAGAGAGCTCATGGACTCAGAAACGGAGTGGCCATGGGAGGGCCAGGGCTCAGCCTCTGGGCCTGAGGCGGGTTGTAGAGGCTGCAGCGTCCCAGCTGACCGGCACCACCCGAGAGCAGTCCTGGCGCAGCGGGTGCTGTTCTGCAGGCTCCCGGACACGGAGCAACACGAGGCCGGGCCCGGCTTTCTAGGACGCTCTTGCCACAGTAGGGCAGGTTTCAACCCTGCGGCCTGATGTGAGGGGAGGTATTCTGCTATTTCCAGGTCTGAAGTCCAGGGCCTGGTGGTGCAGGAGACCCAGCCCCCAGGGGACAGCCTGCATCCGACTCCACAGGCACCGCAGGGACCCTGCAGGTCCTGGGAACAAGGCCACCCAGCGTTGGGTGCCCTGGAGCCGCATGAGCACATGGCCTCCCAAGGTGTCCTTGGAGGACCTTGACCACCAACGTCCACTTGAAAGGCTAATGTTATCTGCTGGCTACTCACCCTTTCCCTGGAGGACTGCAGGACGACTCCATGCCTCCGTCCCCTGTGGCCGCGTGGAAGTACGTCCATGAGGAGGGAAGCAGGCCTTGGGTGAAGACAGAAATTCCAACAGGCGGACAGTCGCCTCATCTCAGGGTGCAGAGCTGCTGTTTTCACCCAGTAGCAACCTGAAGCCACAGAGGGACGAAGGGCTGAGAGGCCAGAGGCAAATTCCCCCACGGGTGTTCACGGGGGCCTTGGCATTCTGTCCACATGGATACTCACGGAGCAGCGTGAGCCGCTGGAAAGCAGGCAGGGCAGTGGGTGCCGCAGGCCCGGCTGGAGGAGAGCCGGTAACAGGAGCCCCCACCTCCTCCACGCTGCACGGCCCAGCCCAGGGCAGGCCTGTCGGGGCCGCTCAGGCGCTTCCCGGCTCCTGCGTGGTCTAGACTCCTATTTTTTCACTGAATCCTCTTCTGCTGTGGGATCAGTTAGGGGAGAGGCTGAGGGAGGTGGAGTAACCCAGGGGTACCTGAGGCTCTGCAGTTTGGAGCTGTGAGCATCTAAGGCATGAGTGCTGGTGGTCCCACAAAAGAAAAATTGTTCAAGGAACAGAATGGACTAAAATGAGAAAAGCACACGTCTTAGAGTTTAAGAAACATGATTTTATTTAAAATTGCATACAGATAGAAATTTACCAAAATTTGAACAAAAACTAAATACAAATTTTTCCCACCACAAAAACGGACGGAATGGGAAACCCCACATTCCCTCAGGTGAGAATTTCCCACCCTTCCCTCAGCTGGTGGTCCTGGGTGAGGACGGGACGGAGGGAGACTCTGCAGAAGCACCAGTCTGACCTTCAGGCCGGGTCATCTGCCGGGACTCAGTGACGGAGGGACGGAGGGTCCGTGAGCACCAGCTGTGGCACTGAACCGGGAGCTCATGAGGAAGGCTTCAGAGAGAGGTGAACGGTGTGCTCAGCAGTAAGGCCACGGTGAAAGCCAGCACGGCGGACCAGTGTGGAGACGCACTACGCGGCACCTCCGGGGGACACTGTGGCTGTGCTGGTGACCGGGCGTCAGGGCTACTTGCCTGGGTGTCCCCCTGTACCCCTGACGGCCGATGCTAGAGGGAATCCCGCCGGGGACCTTGGTGGCCTGTGGGTTCTTGCTACGTGAGATTCGGGGTCCGGGAACCAGGCCTGTGGTGAGGCCGTCCCGGCCACGGAGCACTCACATGGGGAGAGCGTGGAATGGGGGGCTGCTGGGGAAGACCAGGCTGGGCAGACGTCGTGACTGAGAGAGCAGCTGCGAGACCCTCTTCCCCGGGCGGGACCCTGCTGCACAGTGGGGAGGGGATGCCTCAGAGGGTCACCGGCAGGTCACTTCTTTGCCACACTGGCCACGGCTTTCTTGGCAGCGTCCTCCAGGTCCACGGCGGCGGTGATGGGCAGGCCGCTGTTCCGGAGTATGTTCTGAGCCTCCTGGACGTTGGTCCCTGAAGGGGGAGGAGCGCACAGGTGAAGCGGGGGCTGGTCTAGGACACCCACACCAGGTCCCGCAGCAGGCTCCGCGCTGGGGACCCAGGTGGGGCCTCTCAGGTGAGCCTGCCTTGCTCTCCTTTCCCTCCCACCCTCTGCATTAGGAACAGTGGGAGAGTTTTCTCCGGCCCTTCCTTCAGATGACGCTCAGAGGTCAGCAACTACTCAGGAGTCTGAAGTCTTCTGACCTGGATCTGAACGCTCAGGACAGAATCGAGAGACATGTGGGGGTACGCGCAGGGAATGGCCCGCCCCACTGCGGGCTGCTGGCCCCAGAGCTTCACCAAGATGGTGAAACACGGGTTTCCATCAACGTCTGCCTTAAAAACCCCTTAGGAGGCCAGCCCGAGCCAAGCCCTGACCTGAGCACCAGAGCTCTGAGCATCTGCCCGTCTGGGCCCACCATCCCACTGCCCGGAGAGCGGCGGGACTCGAGCTGCCCACCCTTTTGGCTCTCCGTCGAGGGCGGAGGCCTTGGGGATGAGCAGCGTACCCTGGGGGAGTCCCCAGGAAGCAGTGGCCAGCCAATCGGCCTTATCTACAGGTCTGCCCTGGGACCCTCCTGTGCTTACCGTGTGGACCATGCCATGGGGACCAGGCAGCAGACTCAGATGCCCAATGAACTATCATCTCACATCACTTCCCGAGCTTAGGACGGGGCTCAGTCATGGACAAAGACTGTCCCATGCCGCCTGCAGGGCCTGCCTTCCTCAGGTACACCAGACTCAGTCAGCGGGCTCCCTGCAGGGCCTTGCTAAGCTGCTGAGTGGCCTGATCCCCCTCCAGCGTGGCCAGGCAGCAGGACAGCTGCACTGAGATGGTGCTGCATGTTGACTGCCTGGGCCCTGGGTCACCTCAGCCACCCCGGGGGGATGCCGGGCACCCTGTCTCTGGCTGAGGCTCACGCTCAGCCTGACGGAACACGGGGAGGGAAGAGCACTGAATCCCGCCCTCCGCTGGCCACCTGCTCCTGTGCAGTATTGGACACTGGTTTAAGCCTCTTCCAGTCTCCACTTTCTACTTCCACCCAGGGACCACCACCCTCCCCACCCCCAGGACCTTCCCCAGTGCTCACTGAGGACGGGCAGACGTTGAGCACCCCACACCAGGGTGAAGAGTCTCAGCAGAGGTGCCGGCCGCCCGGGTGGCCCCTTCACAGGGAGCACCACTGCGTCCCCATGGCACGTGCTGGTGTGCGGCCGGAGCAGCTGGCAGTGTGCACTGTGGTGAGGAGCGAGGGGAGGTGGGTGGGCTGCTGGGGAGGAGGCCCCCCAGCCCTTGCACAGGCGGTGGACTGGGGGGTGGGAGGGGAGATGGGCACAGCCCGTGGCAGCCTGCAGAGGCAGGTCCTGAAGAGGAGGGCCTCCTGCAGCCAGCGGAGCCCAGCGTGAAGGAGCAGGGCCTCCTGGAATGTCGCCCAGGTCAGCACCCCTGCACTGGCTCTCCCAGCCCTGCAGCAGGCGGCTTCTGATACCCGAGGTTGATCCCTTGAGAGACTGGCGTCCCCAGGCCATCCTCCCCACTGGCTGTGGGTGGACCAGGGCCGGGCTTCCCCTGAGAACCTGGCAGAAGTGATGGAGTCCACTTCGGAGACCACAGACAAAGCCTGGGCGCTGTCTAGTTCCCCGCGGCTCACAGTCACGACAGAGGGCCACACCATGAGCCGCTGCTCTCTGCACAGGGCCACCTTGGGCACAGCACGAGGAACTGCTTCCATGTGGAAGTGTATTCCCCCCACCGTGCCTTGATATGTCCACAGCCTGCGTGACACCTGCATGCAGCTCAGGGATCCTGCATGCGGGGACCCAGCTGAGACCCGGGCTGCTGCCACCACACCCTGCTGTGCAGGGTCCCCGCCCCCTGATCACTCAGAGAGCCTAGCAATGCTCCCTCTCCTCTGAGCACACTGTGGGAGGCTCCCCACCAGGACGCCCTGCAGAAAGTGCTTGGTGACCCAGAGGGCCCACAAGGACACAGGGGTGGGCACCTCTGCTAGCCTTGCAGCCCCAGCTCCCCAAGAGAGCCTGGGGTGGCCCAAGAGCAGCAGTGTGGGGAGCTCCGGCTGCGGCCCTGCAGCTGTGGGTGGGGTCTGGCTGCCCCAGGACCAGGCTGCTGGCCTCCTCTTGCCCCAGAGCAGCTCCCTGCACCCAGGCAGGTGAGGGCAGTGTGGGGCCAGGGGAGGGCGGGGCAGCCACAGACCTGTCCCCCCAGCTCCCGTCAGTGCCCTGTCAGATGCCTGATTGCTTCATGATTCTACAACCCACTAAAATGAGTGTTGATTACACTTGCTGTTGGGATTTAATTACAGCCTTAATTATCGAGCACATCCCAGCAGGTGCAGGACAAAGCAGCACGTGAAGGGACCCTAACAGCAGAGCATAAAGCTCAGGAGGAGCCAGGAGCAGGGAGAAACCAGTCCCAGGGGAGAGGGATGGAGTGAGAGCCATGAGCACAGGCAGGAGGAAAGGGGGACAGAGACACAGGGCAAGAGGGAGGAGGGAGAGAGGAGGGAGCGGAGTCAGAAACAAAGGGAAGGAGGCACAGAATGGAGGTCCAGAGGAAAGGAGAGAGCTCAGGATTCAGAGGCAGAGGCCTGGAGGAAGAAGAGCTGGGAAGGGAGAGGAGGAGGAGGAGGAGGGAGGACAGAGTGGAGGAGGAGGGAGGAGGATGGAGTGGAGGAGGAGGAGGAGGAGGACAGAGTGGGAGGGAGGAAAGGGAGGAAGGGGGGGAGGACAGAGAGGAAGGACAGCCAGGTTGGAAGAGGAGCAGGAGGACAAGAAGAGAAGGAGCAGGACAGAGTGGAGGAGGAGGAGGAGGAGGACAGAGGACAGGTTGGAGGAGGAGGACCAACAGCAGGAGGAGGACAGAAGAGAGAAGCAGAGCTGGAGAAGAGAGGAGGGGCTGGAGAGGGGGAACAACCAGGGATATTGAAGAGACAAAGCCCTGCAGGTAACTCAGGCTGACAGAGGCGTGCCCCTGCCCCTCCTTGGACGCCCTGCTGCCCACGGACCCTGCCCTGGCCATCATGTACCCCATGAGCACAGCTGGAAGGGAAGTGGGAGCACAGAGAAGGGGCACAAAGAAAACCAGCACCCCTGCACCCAGGTCACCAGAGAGGGACGGGGACAGGGTGACGGTCGAGGGAGCTCCGTTTCTCCTGGATTCGCCCAGGCTGACATCCACCCCATCCTTGTCCCCACCTCTGTTTTTAAGCAGACACAGTCCCACTGCTCTGGTGCACGGCCAGTGACCTTGGTGACCACCATGGTTGACCACCCAATGTCCCAGCCTGGCCTGCCAGAGTCCGTCCAGCCCAGGGCCTCTATGCTAAGAACAGCTTTCACATTCTCAAGTAGCTGGGGAAGAACCTCAGAGGAATACTTTGTGATGTATAAAAACCGCATGGAATTCAAACTCCAGTGTCTACACATCAGGCCTTCTTGGAGCATGGCTGCACTTGGGGATCTGCGGTGTGGACGACTGCCTGTGCTCTGTGACGGGCACAGGGCTGTGACACAGGCAGTGTGGCCCCAGGCCTGCAGGGTGAGCGAGTCTGTCTGAGACAGAGAGGTAAACAGCAAGGTAGGTAGGTGGATACGAAGACAGGTAGACAGGTTTATAGGTGGGCAGGTGGGTAGACAAGAAGAAAGAAGGCAGCCAGGTAGGGAGGTGTAGAGAAAGATAGAAGGTAGGTAGGTGGGTGGGAAAATAGAAGGGAAGACAGAGGGAGCAATAAGGAAGACAGGAAGGTAGACAGGAAGACAGGAAGGTAGGTGGATGGACGGATGGACAGGCAGATGGAGGTGATACATAGGTGGCTGGGTGGGTGGGGGAACAGATAGGAAGGTAGGTAGGCAGGTACAGGGAGGTCAATGGAAACCTGCTGTCTGTGAATGCAGGTCTCTTCTTGGATGCTCACTGTCCCTGTCCCCTTCCTTGTCTTCTCTAAGTGACTCTCCGGGAGCCATATTTCCTTGATGGCAGTGAACCTAGGTAAGTCATCATGTCTGTCTGCTCCACCTGGTGGCTGTGTACTGGAAGTGCAGCGATTCTGAGAACGGGGGGCCGTGCGGCGGCTGCTGTGCCCTCTGCCCTCCTGAACTGACCTGCGCCTGACATCCAGCACCCGGGGCGGCGTGTGCTGCCACCGAGGAGTCCGCGTGGTAAGCGGATGCTGGCGCTCAGGAGCCCAGGGTTCTGGTGGTGCAGGGACTCCTCTGCCCCGGGACCTCTGAAGCTGCCACAGTTTCACTCCCGTTGGGGACGTGGCACTTTAAACCTGGCCGAGATCCGGGTAGCTCAAGGACCTGGGGACAGTACTGTCATGTAAAGCTCTCCATTTCTCATTGTGGAACATCTAAGTGCCCGGAGCCCTCACGCTGTATGAAAAGCACAGCTGACCCGCGTACCCGGGGGCTGTACCGTGTCCACATGTCCTGTGCTCTGTGTCCCGGAAGGAGCCGACGCCCAGGCGCGAAAGTGGACCTCCTGGTGCATCACCCCGGATGCCGGAGCCGCGGTGTGTCCCAGCCAGGTGTGTCCCCTGAGGGTGTGCGGGTGGCCAGGGTGTCCCCTGAGGGTGTGGGGGTGGCCAGGGCTGTGATAAGTGGGTGGACGTCTGACGAGGAGGGCGTGAGCCCACGAGGTACAGGGCCTTCAGGCAGGGAGCCCCACACGCCTGCAGCCTGCGTGGACGTCCTTCCACACCTCCCAGAGTCCGTGCCACCGCGTGACCGGTCTGAAGGCTCGCCCTGCAGCTCACTCTGCTGCAGGGATGGCTCACGGCTCAGGTGTGTCCCCGAGAGGGGCGTGCTCTGGAAGCCAGGTCCCCAGTGTGGGGCTGAGGTGACCCCAGCCCAGGTGGGGCCTGTGGGGCTGATCAAGTCTGGGGGCTCCACCCGGGAGGGGACAGTGCAGGTCTCGGGGGCTGAATTAGTTCCCCCAAGATGGAGCTGTCATAAGAGGAGCCTGCCTGGCCTCACAGCACCACAGGTCTCTTCCAGGGCCCCACTGTGTGACATGTCCACCATCGGGCCCCCTCAGAGCAGGGCAGACTCAGCTCCTCCAGAGCTGTCGCCTGCACAGACCTCTTTTCTCAACCAGTCAGCCAGCCTCAGGTATCTCATTACAGAAACAGAATGGATCGATAAGGGGCCTGAGAAGTCACGGCACTGCCTCACTGTGACTCTGAACACGTGTCAGGGAAGTGACTGAGTGAACTCCACTGCTAACTCCTTCCTGGAGGAGAAGTCCTATCCTGAGAGCTTAACGCTGCCTGCCATTTCCTGTCCTGACCCTCACGAGACATTTCAGGACTCAGGACAGAGAGAGGTTTAGGCCGAGGGCTCCCTCTTGCTGGGGGTCTCTCTCCACGCTGGGATCTGCACACTGCAGTCCATGACCAGGTCTCTTCCCCTCTGCTTCTGCCCAGGACTGTGCAGAGCCAGGCCACCCTCTGTGACCCTCCATGCCCCTCAGTGCCACAGCACACGGCTGAGAGCTGGGGGTGGGGCACCTGGCCCAGGGCGCCTGCGAGTGGGCTCTCCACATGGCCCAGGGCGCCTGCGAGTGGACTGTCCACATGGCCCAGGGTGGGCTGTCCACATGGTTCAGGGTGGACTGTCCACCTGGCCCAGGGTGGGCTGTGGACTGCAGACCTCTCTCTGGGGCCACATGGCCACGCCTGTGGCTGGAGGGCCCCGTGGAAGAGGCGGAGAGGACTTTCCAGCCTGCAGCCCACTCACCTCCTACCCCACATGGTGGACAGCTGTTTCCAGAGGAGAAAACTCCCCACGGCCCATCTTGGCCCAGATGCTGCCTCTCCTCATGGCATTTGCAGTGGACCATGGCCAGCGGCTCTTCCTGCCGAGAGGCACACGTCTCAGAACCGTCCTGGTGTGCACTGCTACGGGCACAACACGAGCGCCCTGCCTCCTGGTTCCAGAGACGCTCTGGAGTCTTCTGCCCAGGGAAGTGGCCGGCAGCAGCCTCCGCCAGGCTCACCTCCGTGTGAAACACGCCCAGCGGTGTGCTCCTCCCTGGCTGCAACACCCCTCCTGTGCAGCGCTGGTCAGACCTCGCACCTCACGCACCTCACGGGAGGAGAGGAGCTAGCTGAACCCTCACAAGGCGCCTAGAGGGCAGAGGGCGGGGACGCCTCAGGGGCACCGGGATGAGCCTGTCCTGGTGCCCAGCACGCTCAAATCCCACTTCACTGAAACGCAGAGTCGTGCACCAGCTCTGGGAAGAGGGAGGGCAAGTCCGCTCGGCGGCGGCCACCCTGCAGCTGCTGGGGACTCGGGCTCCCTGCACCTCCGCGCCTGAGCTGGTGGCTGCTGGAGGAGGGTGTGGGCACCGCAGAGCGGGAGCCCGTGACCCCTGTTCCCAGGGAGCACCGGCCCTGGAAGAAGACGGAGGAGCCATGGCTGCTGGGACTTGGTGTTTGGCTGGATTTTCTCAACCAATGAGCCAAGTGAGTCTGTCACCTCAAGGGGAGCTACCGACTGATTTGTGGCTCAAGATGAAATTCATACCTTAAACTGAAACTCAAACTCTCAAACACTGGCTCCTGCCGCTGTGCCCTTGAACTTGACCTTCCCCATCCTGAGGGAGACGTTCTGAGGGGCCCGGACAGTGACAAGCACCGGTTTCAGGGTGCTGTGTTCTGAATCGCCCGGCCTCTGGGGACCTGTGTAACCCTGACAGGTTCAACGGTACGGGAGCTCGTGACGAATCCTGCCAGGGTGAGACACGTTCCAGGCAACACGGACGGACCAAATTCAACATGAGCCAAAGAAGGGAGCGCGGACTCCATGTGACAACTTGCCTTTAGCCGCGTACCCAAGAAAGACTCCCTACAACGGGAAGGCTGATGAGAAGCTCCCCCTCCCAGGGGTGCCTCCGTGGGTCCAGGGCTGACTTGAGCCCCAGCCGTGCATCGCAGCAGGCTGCAGGCCAGGCCCGAGGAGGGAGACGGAGGCTGCAGCCCCTGAAGCACGGCCCTCCTCCCCAAGACTGAACCTGCAGGGCCAGCCGCTGGGCCAGGCGGAGAGCAGCAGGTGCCTGGACGCTTTCCAGACAGGACCCCGTTCTCCCGAGTTTTGTTAATTCACTGTCACACTCTACTGTGCCCCACTTATAAATCAGACTTTGTCACAGGCAGGTACGTGCGAGAACACACAGTGTGCACAGGGGGCTCGGGACGTGCTGCCCATGATCAGAGGGGCACTATGTACACGGTACAAATTCTACTCATGCGAAGTGTGAAATCAACATAAAATACAATAGAATTTCACCATGGAAAACCGAACGACTCTATTTTTAAATTCCAAGTAATACTTGTTACCAAATTAACTTACTCATCGATGACGTCAATGTGTTGACTTGTATAATCCAAAGTCAACGCAGGCTATCGAGGGTCCCCGATTTTAACAAGTACAGGGTCCCGGGACCTGGACCCCACGTGCCACTGCACTACCACGTGGATGACTTGGGAGCAGGACGTCCAGGAGCCTCGTGCCCAGACACACCTGGCTCGAGGGCTCCCCGACAAGCCCGGGGGAGGCAGGCCCGGTCCACTCACCTTCCAGACGCACCACGAGGGGCACCTTGAGCTCCAGCTCCCGACAGGCCTTGGTGATGCCGTTGGCAATGATGGCGCAGTTGACGATGCCCCCGAAGATGTTGACCAGGATGGCTTCCACCTGGAGCAAAGACAGGAGGCGCCATCAATAGGGTGGTCCACAGCCCAGCAGCGGCGGCCCAGGTGAGGCAGGCTGGGGCCTCCTGGCTCTGCACAGGGCACAGTTCAATAAAGGGCCGGGTGTGCCAAGGCTGAGTTAGGGATGACGACTAAACAGCAGCAGATAACAACAGGTGCCACCTTGAAAATAAGGAAAGTCCAGCCACAGACCCAGTGTCCAGCCCCACCATGCAAACCTGCCTGAGCACATTTCACAGATGAAGACAAGTCACCTGAGGAGACGCACTTGTCTGGACGCGGTCAGCAGGCGTCCGGCCATCCTAATGACTAAGGACTAATGAGGGGCATTCCTCACCTGGATTACACAGTAACACCCACAGAGAGCAGCTACCCCTGCAGCCTGGCACCAGTGCACACTAAGCCCTGCGAGGCCAGCGGCGGATACCCAGAAGGACGCTGTGGCTCACCATGGACCCTGCTAGTCCACACACTGCACCTGGGGAAGGTCACCTCCCAGCACTGCAGCTCCCGACCAGGTGCTGAATAAGAGTCCCCAATTTTACTCTGACCCTCCCTGGGCCCTGTCTGGGCAGTGTGGGCAGGGAGGGTCCCTGTCATCCACCAGGGAGGGTCCCTGTCATCCACCAGGGCTGGAGGCCCTCAAGGTTATAGGCTTCAGGCCGAGTGTGAGCACAGAACCAGCTCCGCAGGCTGCCTGCTGGGGCCCCCTGGTGGCTGCAGAGCTGTCCACCTCCAGAACATGGCCTCCCGCCCTCAGGGTGGACAGCAGCTCCTGGTCCACGGGTCTGTTGAGACTCCTGGTGGCTGCAGAGCTGTCCACCTCTAGAACATGGCCTCCCGCCCCCAGGGTGGACAGCAGCTCCTGGTCCACAGGTCTGTTGAGAC